GTTTTTCCTCGTCGCTCGCTTGGCCGTCTGTGTTTGCTCGTGTCTGGGCCCCGGTCTTTCGGACGGGGCTAGGACTCGGGAGCCTCGACACGGGGGTCAGTGCAGACGGGGGTCAGCCAGAGCGCCGGACCTTGCAGGATCCTGCAGCGCCAGGGTCGCATTGACCTGGGTCTGGGTGCAGGATCCTGCAGGATCCTGCAGCATGTGTGCCCTTTTCTCCAGTCCCTGGCTACGCGTTTTGGTATGCCTATTGCAGGTTGGTCGGCGCGCGATTTCTGGGTATTCCCCCGCTCGTCCGCGCCAGCGTCGTCGCTTCGCCCGGGAGTAAGGGGCGATGACGGTCCCGCGGCAGGACAGCCTGCCGACTCCATCGTTTCATCTCTGTCGCTGGCACCGCGCCATGGGGGTCGGGCGACCCCGAAGGCGAGTGGTGGGGGGCGGCAGGAGAGTGAGCAGAGGGAGCTATTCGGGAACTGCTGGAGCACACGGGTGGTGCCCAGCCGTGCTGCGCACCCGCTGCTCCGCTCTCAACCTCATGGGCGCTGCAGCACGCGGCACGCGGGCCACAGCCGCCAAAAACCACAGCCTCCGCGGGCGACACTCGCGCCCTACTTCTGCATGGCTCGGGTCGTGGACGCGCCGATGCAGGCCGTGACCACGCTTGAGTCGGGCATGTCCCTCTACAGGAGGAATGTTCAAAAATTGTCAAAAATAGTCTGGGGACGATTTTCCGACCATTTTTGAATTGGTTGGGCGTATTTGTTTCACAATTTCTTTTTTTGTTTGTCCAAAATCCGCCTGTAGGAGGACACGCCCGACCTGAGCCGAGATGGACGGTGACCAAGATCGTTTTTTCGACTATTTTTGATTGTTTGTTTGTTTTTTTGACTGTTTTTGATTCTTCGTCCGAGATCCGCCTGTAGGCGGACCCGCCCGATCTAGGACCACGTCTTGCAGCGTCTCGTGCGAAAGCTCCCCTCGCCTTGCGGCCGGCGCCGCGGGGAGCAGGGGCCGGAGCGGGGGTTCCCGGCCTGCCGGCACCCCGCGAGGAGCCCTGGACTCCGCAGAGGAGCCGGTCTGGACTGGCCGTGCACCCAGTTCCGATCCGCTGGGCCTCTCTGTCTCTGTCGTTTTTTTTTTGTTGTTGTTTCTCTCTCTCTCTATCTCTCTCTGTCTCTCTCTCTCTCTCTCTTTCTTGAAGCCGGGGCGAAGCATCTTGGCTCGCCTGTAGGCCCATCAGCACATGTTCTGTTCTAAGAACGTTTTGTAACTTGCACGGAATGTTCTCAGAACGTTTCTGGCTAAGATTTTTGTTTGGTGGACACATTTCTGGATTTCTGGTCGAGACTGCTTGCCTTATTCGTTCAGAACATTGCCTTCATTCTGAGAACATTCTTTGGTTCTAAAAGAATTTCCTGGCAGGCCTATAGGTATGCCGGGACGGTGGGTCCCTGCTCAATATCTCTTTCTTTATGTCTCTCTTTCTATTTCTCTCTCGATCTATACCGATTTATACACATGATGGCCTTCGGCCCAACCGTGTCTGGGTTGTGGGTCATCGTCCTCGCGTATGCTTATCAATTACAGCAAGAAGGGTGTGAAGGTGAACGCAGATGCTTGGATTCAGTGTTTCAACACCTACTTTGGTGCTTTCGAGCTGGTGTCCCTCACCGCCGCCAGCTGCAGTCGTTTGGTGGAGAAGTGCCGTTGAGCCCAACACGAATTCTTGGGGCTTCCTGGAGACCTTTCGGGGCCGAGGGCTCGAAATGTGCGGGTCCCCCGTCGGGCCCCCCTCTTGGAACCGTCTTGGGGGCATCTTGGGCCCTTGTGGGCGCCTTCTTGGGTCGTTTTGGAGTCCGCTTGCGCCGTTTTGGGGGCCCCCTTGGAGGCCTCTTGGGTCGTCTTGGGGCGATCTTGGGAGCCTCGTCGGTTGTCGTGGAGCGTCGAGAAGCCGAAAAGGCGAGAGCGCCACAACCTTTACATTTCCGATCGAGAATTAATTGGGGTCCTTCTGTGAGGCCTCTAGGAGGTCTCTTCAGGCTTTTTGGGGGCATCTTGGGCCGTCTCGAGGCGATCTTGGGCGTCTTGGGGCGATCTTTCGGCGACTCGGGGCCTTCTTGGACCGTCTTGGGGACTCTCTTGGGGCGCTCTTGGCCCGTCTTGGGGCCCTCTTGGGCCCGAACAGGTCATGCGAGAAGACGCTGGGAGCCCCAGGGGCCACTCAACGCGCCTGGGACGATTCGTGAATTGTGGGTCCAGGCCCTTGAAAGAATCCGCAGGATTGAGGACTGAGGCTCCAGGGGGTCGGACAAGGGACCTGAGGACTCTCCAACTCGTGCCTCGAGGGCACGTTGGCGGATACAGGTCGCTCTCCCTCCCTCTCTCTCTCTCTTCTCTCTCTCTCTCTGTTTCTTTCTCGCTCTCTCTCTCTCTCTCCCTCTCTTTCTCGTTTTCTCTATGTCTCTCTCTCTCTCGTTCTTTCCCTCTCTCTCTGAACACGAACCCGCGCCTCTCTACACAGGCGCACACACTGGGTCCGCTCCGCTTCGGTGCGGCGGTGACGCCGTCCCGGGCGTTCCAGTTGAGCACCCTCCGGGGTCCCCGCTCCGGGCCCTCGGGCCCACAGAGAGCAACCCATGCAGTCGGGGCCCTGAAGAAGGAACCCTTTTGGTTGGGGAGGGGCTCCGCGTTCCTTAAAGTGTTTCACAGCTTGCCTCAGGTTCTCCTGATGTTCTCGATCGGAAATCGAAGTTTAACTTATGGAAAAAAGGGGCCTCGTTCCTTATTCAGGGTTCCTTAGGTCAACGCCCCGACTGTACAGCTCGGGGACCTCTCCAGACCGAGGGGCTCGCGCGGCGTCGCGGGCCGGAGCCGACGTCGGCACGGCAAAGCGTTGCGCGTGCGTCTGTGTCCAGAGCCCAGCGAGACCACGCCTCCCTTCGAAGAAAGCTCGGAGGTTGATAGACCTCCTACCCTGACACGTCGATGAGTGAATTGGCCGTTTTCGGTTCGCGAGGGGGCGTCGCGGCCGTTATTCTGCGGGTCCAGGTCCGTCGGTTTCGGTCCCAGGCCGTTGTCACTAAAGGGAGTTTTTTTTTTAAGGGAGGTCTGTCCACCGCCGAAAAGCAAGAACAACGCTGTCCATGTGAGCTTTTGGCGCGGAGAGCGACAACAGTTTATGTCTACGCCGTTTCTTCCTTACTCTAGAGACCACGCCGCCCTGGGCAGCTGTCGCCGCTGTCCGTGGGCTCCTGGGGGCGGTCTGGCGGAGTGAGGTCATCTCCCAGCTCCGCGCGAGACCTCGCCTCCTCGGATGCCGCCAGGCGGCCCAGGCCATGCCCGAGGGGTCATCTTCGGAGCGGGCGACAAGGATGCCAGCGACATGGACAGCCTTTCTCCGAGCGGGGGATGTCCTGGATCCGCGCCTGGGGCCCCCCCGGCGGCGCCTCTGGCGCCCCCCCCGGCGCGCTCCGCGCGCCAGGGAGGGGGGTCCAGCGCAGATCCAAGAAAACCGTGCGGAATGCCAAACGTTTATGTTCGTAGCCTTGTTTCTTCTTCTACTTTTTGGCCACGCGCAGAGGGGGGTAGGGAGAGGGGGGAAGGCTTCTTAGAAGAGCCTCTGCTTCTCGGAAGGCGCGCGCGGCGCGGGCCTTCTCTCTATACACGTGTAAGGCCGGCAGCTTCTGAGGAGAAGCTCCCTTCTAAGAGGCCTTCCCCCCTCCCCCCTGCCCCCCTCTGCGCGCCGTCAAACTCTGGCTTCACCTGGCCGGCGCATCTCCCGGGGCCGTGACCTCGGAGAGCCTGGCCCACGACTCGCGGCCCAGGCACGGGCCCTCTCGCCTAGGGGCCGCCGGCGGACCTGGCGTCGGGCCGGCGGCCCTTTTCGTCGTCGTCATGCCGTGGGGGGATGGGCTCCGGGTTGAGTCGGGCATGTCCCTCTACAGGAGGAACTTCCAAAAGCAGTCAACAGAAACGGTCAGGGGACGAGTTGTCGGCCACCTGCACTTTTGGAGTGTTATTTGATTTTTCGCCCCAAATCTGCCTGCGGGAGGACGTGCCAGACATGAACCTGGCGTCGGGCTGGCGGCCCTTTTTTCGTCGTCGTCTCAAGTCGGGCCTGTCCCCCTACAGGGGGAATATGCAAAAATAGTCAACAAATAGTCAGGGGATTATTTTTCAGTATTTTTCGTCGCAAATGCCCCTGTAGGGGGACACGCCCGACTTAATCGTCGTCGCCGTGCCCTGGGGGGATGGGCTCAGGGGGGAATCGCCAATCATCGCTGGCGGGGGCGGGAGCGCCCACCCTGCGCAGGGCCGTGCTGCTTCGCGATCCGAGGGCCATCACCGATCGGCGGTGCATCGCCGATGCCAGCTCGACGCTTCTTCCTCGCGAGCCTCGGGCTGGACGAAAGGAGGGGATAGGGAAAGGGGGGGCTACGAAATCTGCTGCATGCAGCTGGTTTGGGCCCCGCCGCCGGGCCCATTCCTCGATACATGGGCGCATCCTGGCGCCGGGAGGCGCTGGGAACATCAGCTACGTTAGTTTATTCTCACCCACCCCCTTTGCTGTCCCCCCCTTTTGCCCGGCCCGAGAGCCGGTCTCCCCTTTCCCCGCGCTGGCCCTCAAAAGTTCCCGCGCGGAGCAGCGCGCGGAAGTGGCCAACACATTTGCCAGGCATCGCCGCTTGGGAACGTTCCTGCAGCGTGGAGATGTCAGGAAGCCCTCTGTCATCATCGTACCCCTTTCCCCCTCTTCCTCCATGCCGCCCCCAGTCATCGTCTTCGTTTTTTCGCCCACCTCCCTCCCCCGCTCTGGAACCTCGTTCCCTCTCTTTGACGTCGTCCTGCAGTTTTTCTTGATTAGTTCCGATGTTACAGCATTGCTTCGCGTCGGTACCACTTGGCGTGCAACGCGTGAGTCTCTCGTCAGTCAAAGCCAAACTCGATAAGCAGCTGATTCGGCAAGGTGCCCGTGCAGTCTTCGCTTCTGGGAATCCTCTGCGCGTGCCCTGCTTCCTCGGCCGCAGGGTTCCTTGGCACCCTGGCGCTCTCCGAGTGCCGTTCGTCCCCTTGCCCTCCATCCCTGCGGCCCTGGCTCGCCACTGCGCCGCCACCGCCCATCCCAGGTCTCAGGCGGTCGCCCCCTTTTCCAGATGGGCCCCCTCTGGTGCGCCCGCCTGCGCTCTCCCGAGGTCAGCTACTCCGCCGACAGCCACGCCCCGCTGCTCGAGCCTCCGGTCCGGTCGGGCCAGGCGACCGGGTGGGCGGGACTCGGGGGGCGCGCGTTCCCAGATTTGCTCTGTTCCGGATCAGCCAGGACGGGGGAAAAGACACGTACACATATCAAAGTGGATTTCCATGAAATATTGGAAGCTGTGGGCATCGGAGGGGAAGACGAGAATCCAGCAAATGTGGTAACGTATGGGGGACTTCTTGGATGTGTGCCTGTTTATTACTTGTGTGTCCCTGGGCCCCTTTGGTCAGTCTCGCCACTCAGCCAACCATCCCCCCGCGTCGTGGACGAAACGCCGCGGCGGGCGGGTTCTGCACCTTTCTGGCCCTCGGGGGCCCCTGCGGGACCGGGAGACTGTCGAGAGCCGAGTCGGGGTGGACGTCGGGTTGCGTTGAGGGGCCTCGAGACCTCGGGGGATCGACGTGGTGAAAGAATCATAACGTCGGGGGTCCGGGGAGAACCAGGAGGATGTTCGACGGTAGAGGACCGAGGTTCGAGGGTAGAGGATCGAGGATTGCGGGTCGAGGATCAATCAAGGATCGATGTTCGAGGCTCGGGGTTGGAAGATCGAGATTGAGGATCGGTGCACGGGCGTTCCCGTCGTATCGGCCAATCCTGGGTTCGGTGGTGTGCGAATAGTGCGTTAGTTTTGACGGCATGCTCGTGCAAACATCTTACCCACCCATCCGCAGTTTTTTGGCACAACTCAACGGGGTGGCGTCAATGACGATGACGATTACGATGATGATGTTCATGACGAAGGTGGGGACGATGGCGACGACGACGGTGGTGATGGTTCTGAAGTTGATGACAATAATAATGATTGGCAATCGCACCAGATAATCCCAATCAGTGGATGGTTTGACAACTGATAATATGGATATTGATATCGATTGTGAGATCGATAGTGAGATCGAGCGTGGAATCGATAGTGAAGACGATTGTACGGTCGATCGTGAGACCGAGAGTGAAATCGATGCAATGAGATCGATAGTGAGGTCGGTCGTGAGATCGCTCGTGCTAGTGACATCGCTTGTGAGATCGATAGTGAGATCGATTGTGAGATCGATTGTGAGATCGATGATGAGATCGATAGAGATGTGAGTAATGAGAGCGATGGTGAGACCGATCGATAAGAAGATCGACAAGGAGCCCGGAAACCCAGGAACCCCGCCGCCCACCGATATCGGCCAGGAGCCCGGGAACCGGGAACCCGGGAACCTGGAATCAGGAACCCAGGAATCCAGCCGCCTGCCGATATCGGCTTGGATTTTTCGCCACTTCTTCAATATCCTCTAGGACCCCTTCAGTGCAAGCACTGATTGTGGAATGATGACGCTGGCGATGATGATGACGACGGTGCTGGTTAGGATGATTAAGAAGAGTACGCGCACGCAGAATTTGCCAAGGTGACGACGTCGACGATGGCGATGATGACGGCGGTAGTGATTACGATTACGACTATGACAAGGATTGTGATGATTATGATGATGATTATGATTCTGATTATGATTATGCTGATGATGATGATGATGATGATGATGATGATGATGATGATGGTGGTGGTGGTGGCGATGATGCTGCTGATGATGATGGTCATGCTTTAGAGGAGGACGATGATAATGACGATGTCGATGTCGATGGCGATGGCGATGGCAATGGTGGCGCTGAAGATGACCACAACGTTGTGCAGATGAGGATGACGTGGAGGTCCGTTCGCGCAGAAATTCTGGATCCTAGAAGTTTTCTTATTGATAAGCTGTTCGGTTTGCGTATGTGTTTGAACACGTGTGTTGATTTGTTTAGAAGCAATTGGGTTCGGAGGGATTTCGACGGGCGCACGTGGAGACTCGCGCGTGTGGCCCGCATGGTTTTATTTGGCACCAGTTGCGGGCGCGCGATGGTTCTTGAACGTTTTCGGTATGCGCGGGCGCGCGTGGGGCCCGCATGGGCTCATGTGACGTAATGTCAAACTAAGCCATGATGTTCCAATGATTTGAACGGGTGCGCGCGCAGAATTATTGCAGTGATTTGTTTGTTGACTAAGTAGTGCTCTTGACATTGTTCTTGCAATAGTCATTCTGTTTATCTGATAATGCTGGTCCCTGCTATTGCTGTTGCATGCTCTCACCCCTCTGCCCGTAAACATATTGGCTGAGGGGGCCCCCTTTTGCTAACGCTACCAGCTATCATAACTTATCATTTGCAGTGAGAAGGTCTTGGAATAAAATATTCACGCATCTTATCAGCGCCTGCGTGTGCGTTGCATTGGCAGCGGAGCGTGTATTCCGAGCTCCCTCGCAGGGAGAACCCTTTCGGCATCAGACAGTTTCTTCCCGGACACTCCCGTGCAGTCGGACAGATCACGACGGATATTACATCTCGCACGATGGCTGACCGGAGGCCTGCTGCTGCCGCTGGTTCTCGCGGTGCCGCCGCACCGAAGAAGTACGGAGATCGTCGATACAAGGGCAAGCACCCTCGAGATGGAGCTGCGGCAGCGGCTACGCCCGACGATGAGACCTACGAAGAGGAATGGGCCGACGAGTGGGCCGAAGAGGACTGGGCCGAGGACGACTACGAGGAGTCGGGGATTCCACCGAGCTCGGCGGAGTTTCGACGCACCCGTGGTGATCGCAAGAAGTGGCGCGGAGGACCGTGCCCGGCCCCGCCTCCACTCGAGACCCGGTTTCAGAATATCTACAAGCAGCCGAGGTACTACCAGAAGTGGGTTCGGAAAGTGCACATGTGGAAGGCCAGGGCGCGACACTACAAGCCGATGGCCGAGCTGGCCCTGGACCTTTCGGACGTCATCACGGGCGAGGGCGCAGAGATGATCGAGTCTTTGGAATGGACCCGTCTGTATTCACAAGATGGCATCGATCTGGTGATCAACTCACTCGCCGTGTTTGACGAGCAGCAGATCCTACAAGTTGGAGACCTCATGGAAGAGTACGAAGAAGTGGAGCGCCTGCCCGGTGAGCTGCTGGCCGCGTACGTCGCGCATTTCAAGGATCTCGAGATGCGGCTCAAGCGGGCAGAGCTTCCAGCTCAGCAAGGACAATTTCGTGCGTTCAAGTTGTTGCGAAGTTCATGTTTGTCGCCGGAGGTTCGGCGCAACCTCCTCCTCGCGACGGGCAATGAGTACGACTTCGACCGCCTCGTTCAGGCTATGAGTGTGCAGTGGCCGTCCACCGCCCCGAACTGGGTTGCTCCAGTACGACGGATGGCGCGCAAGCGAGTCGGTGAGGCGGCCGCTCCTGAACGCAAGCCGGCTGGTCGAGATCACGATAAAGGAGGCGGCAAAGGACGAGATCGACAGCCACAGAATCGAGCTCCTCGACCAGCGCCGAAGCCGCCCCACGTCAGCGAGGCCGACATTATTCCCGAAGACGAGGCTGAGGAAAACGAAGATGAAGACGACCCCGATCAAGCAGAAGTAAATGAGGCTTACGCCGAGGAGGTTGACAGCATCCAGGTCATGCAGGAGGTGGCGGACGCTTTGACCGTCACAAGCGACAAGCTGAAGAAGCTGACCTTGGGCCGCGGGTGGACCGGAAGGTCCTCGCCGCCGAAGCCTGGAGACCGACGCCCGCCACCGCGGTCAGCGCCCTCCGGTGGTGCCGCCGCCCCTGCGGGTCGGCCGCCCCCAGCGCCGCCCGGCAGGTCGCCGCAAACATCGCCAGCACCGCCACAGAGAGGCACTGCGACGCCGCCGGCCGGCACGTCTTTTTCAGGAAGCATTCGTGGAACGTTTACGGGAGATCGATCCGGAGATTCAAGAGCACCGGCGGCATCTCAGAGGCCAGGGTTTCGCCAGACGTCATCGAGGACCGGCTACAAGGATAAACGCGATCGAGCTCGCGCCGTTCATGATGCCTCGATTGATCAGGACGAACCCGCTGATGAAGACGATGAGGAGTACGCCGCCGATGCGATAGAGCACGAGGCCTTAGTCACGCACCTCTCGCCTGACGAGCTGCAGCAGCGCGTGGCCGCCTTCAAGAGCAGGGTCGCCACCAGCGACAAGGGGGCCTCTCGCGTTCGATTTCAGGCAGCGCCAGAAGTGCGTCAGTTTTCCGTGGATTCTCGCGGAGCTCAGGCGGCGAGAAGCGGGACAAAATCATCGCATCAGGTCGACGTCATCTGGCATGTCCGGACGCCCTTGGACGTTTGCTTCCTCGAGGATTCCCAGGGTTTCTACATTGTCATCGACACAGGTTGCCAGCGCAACGTTGTGGGCTACGAGTGTTTGGGAAAGTTTCTGGAACATATCGCCTACCTGGGATTGAGTTTCTGGGAAGCTGAGGAGCAAGAGAGGTTTCGGTTTGGAGTCAGTCGTGCGGTGAGCAAATCTGTGGTGTATTTCCCGATATGTCTTGAACATGTGGTGCCCCTGGTTTGCCGTGCCTCAGTCTTGGACGTGAACCCTAAGTTGCCTTTCTTGGGATCGTTACCGATGTGGAAGCTCTCGGGCCTCCAGCTGGACACCTTGGGGGAAAGGGCTCATTTCACCAAGATCAACCTGTGCGACGTGCCCCTGAAGATTGCCCCGAATGGCCACTTGCTTCTGCGAGTCGACTCTTGGTTGAAGGATGTGGGGTTCCCAAGGGAGCCCGAGGCCTGGAAGTTCACCCCCTCGGGCGTCATCATCCCGGAGCCCCAGTGGATCCCAGAGGCACCAGCCTGTGTTTCCGGAGATAGTTGTGCTCAAGCCGAGTCTCAGCCTATGCAGTTTTCACGCGCAGCACTGTGTGCTCTTACATATACTCACCGCGGGCTGCTTCAGCCTCGCGAAGTCCTGCCCTCCGTGCCAGACGGCTGTAACCTGACCGACGCCACGCCCGTGTTCGAGAGCATTCTCGGTCTGTCGGTAAATGAAGTCGGTCAAGTCGGAGTCGCAGGAGGCCCGATCGCCTCGTCGCACAGTCCAGCTGACGAGGCAGAACCTGGCGATCAACGCGTGGACGAACCTGATGCAGCTGATCATGAACCACCTGTCGCACATCATCGGTCGCA